TGTTCTAGCAAGGGTACAGCATCGTGATGTGTAAAATGGTGGTGACCGACGACCCTCGCCCCCCCCCCCACTTTGAAGGAGTATGTGGTACAACTCCTCACCTAAAAGAAGGTCTCGGTACGATCCCCCCCGAGGGAGGTTTTTGGTACGATCCCCCACTTAAAATAGGGTCTCGGTACGACCCCTATCCTCCACAACCACCAAACACGACCCCCTCTCCAGCGGAAAAAACACGACCCCTATGTGTCTCACAAAACGATGCTGTACCCTGTCTAGCATTGAGCTCGCTACAACCAGCTGTGGAAACTGCCCTGGCTGCGCTCCAAGCCATGCCCACGTCCTACGCCCTCAGCTGTGGAGAGTGTAACTGCACATAGTGCGCGTGACACTGTGTAAAACCAGCACCTTCCTCACTGGGTCCCCACGTAAACCAGCCGGAGCAGACCATGTACGGTCACTGCAAAATAAATACATCTCGGAACAAGTATTGTATGCATTTTATTCAGATCCGGTCAGTGCCATTGTAAACGCAACGCTGCTGGACGACAATGTGACAAATGCGCTGACGGCTTTTATAAGCTGGAAGGCTTTCAACCAACTAGGCTGCGAGCGTGAGTCTCAATACCTTTTATGCATCCATAAATTGATTTATTAGAAGTTCATTTCGTGGTTTCGTCCAGCTGCAACTGCGATATTGGCGGAGCGTTGAGAGCAGATTGCGATGCGGTGAGACGGGACAGTGCCGTTGCCGCCCACGAGTGACTGGATTGCGATGTGACAAACCGATTGATAACCACTACTTCCCCACCTTATGGCATAACCAAGTATGCTAATATTTCCTCCAATTTAGTGCAAGAAACCGAATATGTATATTTTCAGTACGAAGCCGAGGATGGTCACACAGATGACCAGCGACCAGTTCGATTTGCTGTCGACGAGGCACAGTTTCCGTCGTACAGTTGGAGGGGTTACGCCGTCTTTTCACCAATTCAGGAAAAAAAAGTCAACATGCGACATCGATTGCTGGCCAACGTATCTTATGCAAATAACGCATTTTGGCCGCCATATATATTTTCTAAAAATAGTGATTATAGGCGTCTGTCTATCGACTTCTGTTCAAGTACCATAATCCAACTACCGTACCGATCACCGCAATTGTAGAAGTTGCACCGAAAATGACGCATACACAGGGTGAGCAGAACAGAACACAAACTTGTGCATTAGAGCGTCAAGGCTGGAAAAAGGAAATATTAGCTCATCGACAGTTCTTTCAAATCGTGAAAATGCCGAGAAATTTTTCTCAGGAAAACACTCTACTCTGGTAGTTGGGGCGGAGCTGGGCCCTACCATTGTGTTTTGCCTCATTATCCTTCTCGCTCCTTTGTTTATCGGCCGCAAACCTCCCCTAATTTCGAATTAGCCGTGATTCACACGCGTTTCTGCTCTTCAGCCCCCACGCCTAGATGATTTTGACCCACAACTTGTTGCCAACCCCACAACTTATTGCAAACCGTTAAGGAGGCGGTTGAAGTAGTAGCAGCAACTTCAATGGTGTATAAACTAGTCAACAGTATCGAAGTGATCTACATTAGTAGGAAGGGCTAGCGATTGAAGAGTGCAAGGACAGGCCCAGCCCCGCCCATGCAGCCAACGTAGAATATACTTTTAGTGTTTTGCTTACAGATATCGCACAGTCGGAAAAAGTCGTTTTTCCCCGACGGACTCACCATCGGTGAAAGAAGTGACCATCGCCGGGAAGCCATTCGTTTTGAACCCCGGTAAATGGAAGATCAGCGTTGATACAAAACAACGACTCTTCTTGGTTAGTCCTTTTGTGAATGACCTTTCAAGAACAGTCGTCATTCCCTTTTGGATATCCTAATTTTTTTCAGGATTATGTCGTCGTACTGCCGGCTGAATACTACCAGGGCACGATACTGAAAGAACGTGCTGCACCGCCATGTGAAGCAAACAACGCCCACAATTCGACGTGTGTGGACCTACTGTACCCACCAATGGCTATTGCTGCTAGGGCTGATGTTAACGAAAAAACGGACACATTCAAGGAGGTGCAGATCGATGGCACGACAGTGGATTTGAAACCGGTTAGGATTGGTCTTGGGGGTTATTAGATGTGTATTGAACCAGTAGTCAGTGCAAGCGGTGTAGCTAAGGAGAACTTTTTTGCAGAATACGATCCCCCTTTCCCGTCCATACTACCATATCCCCTAACTTTTCAATCCCCTATACGTGTTCCATAAATTGGAAAAATTTTTTCCACATTACCCTCAAAAACTACCAT